CCCCCCCCCCCCCCCCCCCCCCCCCCCCCCCGGCAGGTTATGCCATAGTAAATCTAACACAAGCTATTGAGGCTGCACAACTCCCAAAGGAGGTTGGGGTTATACACTTCAGAGGACACCAAACCTCCAACGACCCCACAGCCCAGGGAAACAAACTGGCAGATCTAACCACAAAATAGGCTGCTCAATCACCAGCCCCGACTCTTCCTCTCCTGCTCAGGTCCTTCTCATGGCCCCTAAGCCCTTATCCCAATACACGCTCCAAGAAATACAACACCTTCAACAGTTGTGGGCACAGAGAAAGGACAACTGGTATACTCTCTCCAGCTGCTATGTTCTCCCTACTACACAGGCTGAGCAAATCCTTTCAGATTTCCATAATTCAGTTCATATAGGCTATGAACTCCTACTACGCCTTCTTCAGCCCTTATATTACTCTCCCACAAAGCACACGCTATCTTCTAACATTAGTAGATACCTTTTCAGGTTGGGTTGAGGCTTTTCCCTGCACTTCAGAGGATGCTACAGCAGTAACACACGTTCTCACCTCAGAAATCATCCCTCATATTGGCCTCCCCACCAGTCACTCACTCGCCTACTGGCTGCCACCTGCAAGCCCCACAGGCCTCAGCCCCTTTGAGCTTATGTATGGCAGACCCTTCACTCTCACACCTCTCCCTTCCAGCTTATCACCTCAGCAGTGGGGCCTGCTCACACTCTGCCTCACTAACACCAAACACTACCACTCACTTACCCCTCCTCATCCATGCCCTAAAACCAGAATATATTTCCTTTGTAAAACTATGTTATCCTGTTGCCTGCCCCCAACTCGATTTTTTGCATATTCATTTGGCTCACCCCTGACATCACCGTCCAGACGGAGGGGACAGGGACTAACTTTGGCCCCTCCCTCTCAGGAAGTGCCCCCACTCCCGTAGGGCACTAATTGTACCTTCTAATTGGGGCAGGGATCTTTCCTGCAACTGGGACTGGCATAGCGGACCTTCCTACTGCCTCTCAATTCTATCAGAAACTCTCAGAAGAACTAAGTATAAATAACATCTCTTCCCTCCAGCGACAGGTCACCTCACTCATGACACTCACTTTACAGAACTGTCAGGCCCTTTACTTCCTTACAGCTGAGAAGGAAGGTACCTGCCTCTTCTTGGGGGAGGAATGCTGTTACTATGTAAATGAGTCTGGGGTGATCCAAAACAACTTAAACCATTTAAAGGCAAGCATTGATTGTGATGCAAAGGGTTACAAAACACGAATACACCTGGGGGGTGGCCCCAGTCACTGAACCCTTGGATGCCTTGGCTTATGCCCCTACTAGGACCCCTAACTGTGCCTCATCCTACTTTTTGTCCCTGTCTCTTTTGATGTTTCTCTAATTTCTTACAGGAATGCATGCAAACATTCACCAACCAAAAGGTCGCCAAATTGTTCCTGTGAGGAGGATATCAGCCCCTCAGCGACCCTTCCCTGAAAGAATACAGCCTCCCCACATGAAACCAGTACCCCACCGCCTAATTGTTTTGGCCACCAATATAAATCTTTTATTTTTNTTTCCTATACTTAAAAGTCAGGAATGATGGATTTTGGACGTGACTGGGGCCATTGTGCACATAATAAGCACTAGCACAAAATAGCCGCTGGCCTTGTCTTCCACTCCAGCACCAAGCCCCGCTCCGCTTCCCTTTACCAGAAGCCTCCTGACTTAAACAGAAACAACTTTCCGGCTTCCACATTGGCGCAGTTCTCCACCCAGTTACATCAACCTGATGGTCCCTCCCCGCAATACATTTCATGCCCAAGAGCTAATATAAACTCTCACAATCCCATTGTTGCTGCTGTCCCCCATTTTCAGGGCAGCCCTGGGCTGCCTGCCACTCTGAGCACAGCCTGGCAGATTTTCTTCCTTTAATAAAGCTTGAACAGTACCCAGCATCTCGGCTCACTTTCTTTCAAATTATGAAGGTCTTTTTTACTATACCTCCCAACATAGTATGATTTTTATCATTTGCTTTTTGGATTTGATCTTCTTTTCTAAGAGTTTTTCTAAAATCTTCCCACTAAGCCCATGTCCATTTTTGCAATGACAAGAGCTGTTTCAGCTGCATTTTAAGAACTGCATTTAATGAAAAGATTATCAATAGATAAAATTCCAAGGCCAGCCTTAGGATTGGCCCATCAATGGCATTGGGATAAATGAGGATTTAGATGATGAGAAATCTAAATTTCTACTGCAGCCTTTCTATCTGGCTCATGTTGGAACTTCTCAGAGTGTTTGAGTAAGCATATACACCCCAGGTCACCAACAAAGGCGCAACCCCTGGGAAAGCATCATATTGTCACAGTCTGACCCCAAAGTGAATCTAGGGGAAAATAACCATGCAAAAAAATGGACACATTTATGACATTAAATAAAAATTAGGTTTAGGAGGGAAGAGAAACACAGTAAAATTATTCTACAGGAAGTCGTACAAGTCAGACAAGGATATTAGTGAGATTTAGTAATAGATGGAATGCAGTCCTCTACATCTTTGATGTGGAATTATCACTTAACATAGCCATGTCTTGAGCCAGTGGTTTTGGTAAGTACAGGGGTAGGGCACCTATTTTTCAAACATTTTTTCTTTGGCTGACTTTATGTCAATACGTTCTCTACACATTGGACTTTGAAGAGGCAGGGCTTCTTTGCACTGGGAAGGAATTTATGCTGACAGTTTTGCCACATTTTCTCCACCATCTGACAGATATAATTATTAAGTGGGGTCATGGTCAATAATAACCTATAATGTATTAAAACTCAGTCTGATCCTGTGGATTTAATTTAATCAAATCTCAACACAAGTTTTTCCTTACTAAGGACTCTATACCCGAGTTAATATAATCACATAAAAAGTCTCCCT